CAGGGTAAGCGGCGCAGCAAAAATAGACTCGGCGCCGAAACTATCGCGGCACTGCGTGCGGTGTGAACGCTCTAATCTGTTAACATGTGCGCCGAAAAAAATACGCACTGCTTAAGGCTGATTTATACTTCTGCGTCGGACCTACGCCGTAGCCTTTACGCCGTAGGCTATGCGTCAGTTTTCATTTATACTTCTGCGTCGTTGTCCGCGTCAACGTGCAGTACACATGCAAACCGCTAGTCAGCAGTGTTTGTTTTATTTTATATAAGAAGGTGTAACATTAAAATATATTAAAGTGCACATAAACACACACAAAACTCAAGTACATATGGAGGGAGGGGTTCTAGCAGACCAATCACAGCGCTTGCGGTCCGCGTAGAATTGACGCGCTGTTAGATTTTTGGAGAGGTGCACGTCAGGCCACTGCGTATGGGTGTGCGTCTATGCGTAAGCTACGGCGTAGGTCCGACGCAGAAGTATAAATCAGCCTTGTTTAAATTAAATAAATAAATAAATAAATTACCCCTGATTTACGTCTGCTTACGCGTGCGGTGTGAAACGGGCGTTACGTATAGCGGCCCATGGAAACAGTCGCTAATGAGGCATCTACGTGTACATATCTATGTCTGAGACATCTGACCTACCATGCTGGTATGGTATGACCTACAACGCTTGTAGGACTTTTTTCTGTATTGAAATGTATAAATAATCACACTTTGTAATTAAGTGTATTTAATTTAAAAAATATTTTAATACTGTATCATTCATATAAAAAATATTTTAATTTTTTTAACACAGGTCACATTTATCTATTGTTCATTATATTGTTATATATATCTATAGTTATATATTGCTCATTATATAACTATTGTTGTTGAGTGCAATACAAAACAATATGTATTTAAAATGTTCAGTGGCATTTCAAATGTTAATAAACAGTTGGAATATATCATCACATTTCAAGCGGTTTTTGTGGTCATTCTTTTGTTTTAATTGAGCTTATGCGGTATATTTCATGTGCTGCACATGTTTGTTAATTTCTGTTTGTTTCTAAAGAGGAAAAGGAGGTACAGACCAGCTTCACCTCAAAGGAGCAAATTCTTTACCAGGTGTGCACCAAGTTTCATTGTACATGTACAGTGACAATAAAGAACTTAATTAAGAATCGACTGCATGGTTTCATTTTGTTCATGTAATGTATTCACCTACACCACCATGCATGGGGCAAAACCGCCTTACTCTGCCACAGTCCTCCAGTGTCATACAGGAAACTCTGCACGCTAAGAAAGTGAAATTGCTCAACAGAACCGTCTCAACAAACAAGTGTAGGTGACCTGAATGCTGCTCCAAACCAAACGTGCTGCTCAGAGGTACGATATTATATGCATTCCAGCACATGTATAATTGATCATTTGGATAGTTAAGATATGTAGTAGAATATAGTGTTGCTAGATGAAAATGAAGCATTTTAAGAAGGAGTTTGATTACTTTTAGTGCATTGTGAGCAGATGACATAAATGAGCTACAAGGCGTGGACATGGCAAAACATACTCAAAAAATCAATACAACCCGCCTTTCTGTAAGGCTCTCAGCAACCTCAGAACATCTTGCCCTCTTCCTCTCTGAGACTGACACTGAGAGAGAGAGAGAGAGAGAGAGCAAGTTATCGTGCTAAAGGAATCAAGCTCATCAATACTGGATACTTCATCTAACGGATTAAAAAAACAGAAATTAATTGGTGAGTACAAATGTTTCATACTTTACTCTTAAGTTTACAGCAATTTTTAAATAAATTCAGATTTTGCTATTGTAGCAAATCACATTAAAACCTGTAAAGTTGTTTTTTGCTGCCAAATGCCTTAGGTTTATTTAATTTTTTATGTTTTTGTGATCTACTTTAGTCCATATTTGTGCAGATCAGTTAACGTTTGTCTTTTTAAAACTGATAACATATGATAACAGTGAGATGATCTAAAGATGGTGTCTGCGTAATGTACAGTTTCTGCTGTAATGTTATCTGAACCCATTTACAGAGAGGCCATGTCATAATACTTTACTAAGTAAGACTATCCAGCATCTTCTAATTGCATATCAGGTCATCATCTAGCATAAAACAACATTAACTAATATAATTTGTCCATCAAATATCTGTTAGAGTCTTTAACAAGCTGTGCTGCCTCACCCATTGAGGAGTGCTTTCACATACAGACTGAATATGCTCAGTTCTGTTCCTGATTTAAATATATTTCTAGTATCCTTGACACCCTTTCTTTACTTTGATATGCACATTAAACATCAATCCTCGTTTTGACAAATCTGAATAATGTGCCATTTCTCAGAGGTCTATTTTATGGTTATCTATTGTTTATAGTATGTGTATTATTAGTGAAACAAATTTAGCATTTTCTTTGATACTGTGACTTCCTGTCGCCTGAGTTTCCATCTGAATTGTTTTTGTCCCCTTCCTCTTTTGAACCAAAAAAGGCACATTAAGATGATCCATTAGCTCTTATTCTCACAGCTCTAGCTGTTATTAGAACTATTTTATAAATGAAGTATAATTTGATTGGTCTCAGCAGAAAGAACAATCACTGAAATAGCATCCAAGCGTAATTACTGATGCTAACTGGTATTAGAATGTCACATTGACTTATAAAAGCAAAATCTGTGGTCTTATCATCTTTAAAGAAACTGATTCATGTAAAAATGAGCTGTCTTTTAAACACAAAACCAGCTTTGTGAGAGATGCATGGTAAAATGTCACAAGACAGATCACATGTATGCTGAGAAACCCGGTCAAAACAGAGATGAGGGTTAGTAGCTTATTTCTATGGACATTTATCTATTTTGGCCAGTGTGTTGGACAGTGTAATGCAGTTTCTTAATGCAGGATTAATTTCCTCTCACTGCCATTTAGAGAATGTAATTCTATATGAAGTCATTTACAAAGAGGCTAAGTTATATTATTCTACAGTACAGAATATCCAGTGCATTAGTTCCTGCATTTAGTCAGAAATGCATTTACTCTGCCACAGTCCTCCAGTGTCATACAGGAAACTCTGCACGCTAAGAAAGTGAAATTGCTCAACAGAACCGTCTCAACAAACAAGTGTAGGTGACCTGAATGCTGCTCCAAACCAAACGTGCTGCTCAGAGGTACGATATTATATGCATTCCAGCACATGTATAATTGATCATTTGGATAGTTAAGATATGTAGTAGAATATAGTGTTGCTAGATGAGAATGAAGCATTTTAAGAAGGAGCTTGATGACTTCTAGTGCATTGTATATATGGATGATTATAAATGAACTACAACCAGGCGTGGACATGGCAAAACATACGTAACAACATACTCAAAAAATCAATACAACCCGCCTTTCTGTAAGGCTCTCAGCAACCTCAGAACATCTTGCCCTCTTCCTCTCTGAGACTGACACTGAGAGAGAGAGAGAGAGAGAGAGCAAGTTATCGTGCTAAAGGAATCAAGCTCATCAATACTGGATACTTCATCTAACGGATTAAAAAAACAGAAATTAATTGGTGAGTACAAATGTTTCATACTTTACTCTTAAGTTTACAGCAATATTTAAATAAATTCAGATTTTGCTATTGTAGCAAATCACATTAAAACCTGTAAAGTTGTTTTTTGCTGCCAAATGCCTTAGGTTTATTTAATTTTTTATGTTTTTGTGATCTACTTTAGTCCATATTTGTGCAGATCAGTTAACGTTTGTCTTTTTAAAACTGATAACATGTTTTCGCTCAACCCACAACATGCTGAGTAAGTGCTAAATCTCATAATGTAGTAAGTGAGATGATCTAAAGATGGTGTCTGCGTAATGTACAGTTTCTGCTGTAATGTTATCTGAACCCATTTACAGAGAGGCCATGTCATAATACTTTACTAAGTAAGACTATCCAGCATCTTCTAATTGCATATCAGGTCATCATCTAGCATAAAACAACATTAACTAATATAATTTGTCCATCAAATATCTGTTAGAGTCTTTAACAAGCTGTGCTGCCTCACCCATTGAGGAGTGCTTTCACATACAGACTGAATATGCTCAGTTCTGTTCCTGATTTAAATATATTTCTAGTATCCTTGACACCCTTTCTTTACTTTGATATGCACATTAAACATTAATCCTCGTTTTGACAAATCTGAATAAAGTTCCATGTCTCGGAGGTCTATTTTATGGTTATCTATTGTTTATAGTATGTGTATTATTAGTGAAACAAATTTAGCATTTTCTTTGATACTGTGACTTCCTGTCGCCTGAGTTTCCATCTGAATTGTTTTTGTCCCCTTCCTCTTTTGAACCAAAAAAGGCACATTAAGATGATCCATTAGCTCTTATTCTCACAGCTCTAGCTGTTATTAGAAAATTATCATAATCACCAAGGCTGCATTTATTTGATCAAAAAGACAGTATAAACACTAATATTGTAAATTATTATTACAGATTAAAATTACTGTTTTCTATTTTAATATATTTAAAAATTTAATTTATTCCTGTGATAGTAAAGCTGAATTTTCAGCAGCCATTACTCCAGTCTTCAGTGTCACATGATTCATCAGAAATTAGAAATATGTTGATTTGGTGCTCAAAAAAACATTTCTTATAATTATCATCAGTGTTGAAACAGTTGTGCTGTATAAATTTTTTTGTGGAAACAGTGATACTTTTTTCAGGATTTTTTTAATGATTAAAAAGTTCAAAAGCATTTATTTGAACTATAAATCTTTTATAACGTTATCATGTCTTTACTGTCACTTTTAATCAATTTAATGTGCACTTGCTGAATAAAAGTATTAATTTCTTAAAAAGAAAAAAAATCTGACTGACCCCAAACTTATAATGACTAATATTTATTAAATAATGAAAGAACTGTTTTTATAATTTCTTTAGATAAGTCCAATGGAAAGACAGCTCTGCTGAAAGCACTTTTAAATTTGAAGGAAGGTGAGAATGACACTATTGAACATCTGCTGGAAATTGCAGAGAAAACGGGAGATTTAAAAGATTTTGTCAATGCTGCCTACACAGACAGTTACTACAAAGGTCAGAGACAGCTTCATTTTACATAATGTTTTTATTAGTGTAATTATTATTAGATCTAGTTTTATATTAGCTAACATTAGTCATCTATTTTTTATAAATCAACAGAATATTGATCATATTTAACATATTTAACCAACCTATTCATTTTGCAATGTTATCGACTGATCTATTTGAGACAGGTCAGACAGCACTCCATGTTGCAATTGAACAGAGGATTGCAAAATTTGTACAGATGCTGGTTAAAAAAGGGGCTGATGTCCATGCTAAGGCCTGTGGAAAATTCTTTCAGCCCAATCAAGAAACATGCTTCTATTTTGGTAGGTCTATTGATATGGTTAAATTTTTGCAATATTGATATAATTTAAACCAGGGCTGTCCAAACTCGGTCCTGGAGGGCCGGTGTCCTGCAGAGTTTAGCTTCAACTTGCCTCAACACACCTGACTGGAAGTTTCTATGCCTAGTAAGAGCTTGATTAGCTGGTTCAGGTGTGTTTAATTAGGGTTGGAGCTAAACTCTGCAGGACACCAGCCCTCCAGGACCGAGTTTGGACAGCCCTGATTTAAACAGTGGAAATGCTGCATTTTAAATGCATATCCTTTTCAAATTCTACTTAATGAATTGTTACTGAACCACTTTTGTGGGTACCTAGGCTTATCTGTCTCTTTTACAACTTTTTTGCACAGGTGAGCTGCCTTTGTCTCTGGCCGCTTGCACTAATCAGCCTGACATTGTTGACTTCCTTATGAACAATCCATACCAGGCAGTGGATGTCAGGGAGAGGGACTCTCATGGAAACACGGTGCTTCACGCACTAGTATCCATAGCTGATAACAGTCCTGAAAACACAGAGTTCGTCATTGCCATGTATGACCACATCTTATTCAAAGCCGACCAACTTCACCCCAAGATCAAGCTGGAGGAAATCGAAAATAATGAAGGACTCACCCCACTCACATTAGCTGCCAAAACAGGAAAAGTTGGGGTAAACCTTAATTTTTCTGGTGTCTACTGATTGTTGAATGTCCAAGAATATGAACAATTTATGTCTTGCAAAATGCCAGTATTTATTTGAAGGAGTGATTCGTTTGAAGCAGTGCGTATTTCTTTAAGTGTCAGTTCTGTATTCTGTTTTTGGATGTTCCTGATTTTGTGTAGATGTTTAGTCCTCATGTGATTTGAGATGGTATTTCCCTTCAGCGCATGGCATTAAATCAGACACCACACTGATTCATAGTCATGTAGTCTACAGTGACAGTCATAACCAGGGCTCTCAAGTCTCACGCATTCACCGTGAGACACAAGCATTTCAACCAGATCACACACTCACATGCCACACCTTGTATTTCTCACGCTGAGAAGTAAGGGATAACTTGTCCCGCAATATATAATGGATGAGGCGCAGACATACAGAGGGAAGTTTCTACAGAGTTATACAGAGTTAAATGCCACCTACCAACCAATCAGAAATTAGAATGTTGTTGTTTCTGCATAAATTACATGATCCCGGTGCAAGCACATTTGTTACTAGGAAACATGGATGCGCACACACACGGAGTGTATGTTGGAAGAGCAAGGTTTGATAAATGCTGTAGGTGACCCCTTCATTTAAAGGGGTCATATGATGCGATTTCAAGTTTTCCTTTCTCTTTGGAGTGTTACAAGCTGATTGTGCATAGATAAGATCCCTGAAGTTGCAAAGACTAAAGTCTCAAAACCAAAGAGATATTCTTTATCAAAGTTAAGACTCTGCCACGCCCCCCTAAAACGGCTCATTCTAACACGCCCCCACATATCTACCCCACTATGTGGAAATATTTGCATAATCCCGCCGCAAATGTGCACGCAAAGAAAGAAGGCATGGTGTCAGTAACCGCAGTTAGTGTTGAAGCAGCATGTCAGGGAGACACTGTGTGTTTCTAGGCGAAAGCAAAAGCACTTTATTTAGCCTTCCGAAAGTAGATGCATTTAGGAATCTTTAAAAAAGCATCATATGACCCCTTTAACAATATATATATATTTTTAAGCATTTTCATTTTACGATTCCTGGACGACTTCACTTGCCTGTGATCAAAGATAGTGGGAGCTGATGTTGGGGCATATAGCCAAATTCATGCTAAATTATTATTGATACAGTCAAAAACTCTTGAACTGTTTTCTTTGCAACCAGAAGCTTTAACTTTGCTTTGGCTACCTGAAACTAAGGAAAGGACTAGAGATGTTATAACAGTTGGTAAATCTGATAAAAGACAGACAAATTCTTCCAAATAAAATAAATTGTTTTATGCATTTCAAAAATGTAAATGTATCAAAAATAAAAATACATTTGGCCCAAAACGAGCCAACTGAACAGCAGTGCTCAATGTACATACTGTACACATACAGTAGGATTGCAGAACTTGCCCTGAGCATGTACAGTATGTCAAGCTGTGTGTGTGTGTATGTGTGTGGGTGTGTGAGTGAGAGAGAGAGAGAGAGAGAGAGAGAGAGAGAGAAAACATTTCAGCTTATGAATGTTTTTTTTTCTGTTGTGTTTGTTGCACATTTTGATGCCTTGATGACAGGGGTCAGGGCTCCTTAAAGCACTGTGGCTTCCCCACTCAAATGCAAATGCTGAGACAGTGTTCTTCATTGTGGGTTTGAACAAAACCAAAACTAGGAAGGAACAATTTGGCTCTGGACGGAACGCTATCATCCATTATGATGGTGAAAATGGCTGGCCTTGAGCCACAGTGCTTTAAGTGGGAGCCCCTACTCCTGTCATCAAGGCAACAAATACTTACAACACAAAACACCATTCATAAGCTGAAATGTAAAATTGAACTGCTAGCAAAAACTTGAGAGAATTGGGCGGGGCTGAGGGGCTGCTGCTGCAAATATTTGAGTGGCTCTTCCCATAACAGATGTCTCACTCCAAACTTTTGTTAGGCCTATAACTTGAGAGCCCTGGTCATAACCTTTACTTTAACCTAAAGTTTTTTATTTATTGTATTGCTTTTGTTCTATATTTTAGCTGATGCTGATGCTGTTGCTGGCTTGGCTGATTACTAAAATCAGTGCACTGCCAAAAGAAAGGAGACTAATATTCAAACATATTTGTCAATCTTTTTTAATTTGCATAGGTTGTAAAGAGCCTGATTAAATCATTCAGATTTCATTCCTCATTTGTTAACTAGCTGTTAAAGCACATCGTGCAGCGGGAGTTTAAGGGGTGCAAACATCTGTCACGGAAGATCACGGAGTGGGCCTACGGTCCAGTGTGCTCGTCTCTGTATGACCTCGCCTCTCTCGACACCTATGAGAAGAACTCTGCGCTGGAGATAATCGTTTATGGCAGTGAGATTCCTGTGAGATGACATGCTGTTTACTTGACATTAAATGCATTAGATTTTACTACTTCATTAAAGCAAAATGTTTCATTATAAAGAAGCTTTATTGATTTCGATAAAAGCTGTTGATAGCAACATGTTATTTCATCTGATTTCAGAATCGCCTCGAGATGCTCCATATTGAGCCATTTAACAGGCTGATTGAAGAGAAGTGGGAGAGATTTGCGAAACGGATGTTCTTGTTCAACTTTATCGTTTATGTTATCTACCTTTTTATCCTCACTGCTGTAGCTTATCACCGTGAAGAAGGGAAGGACTTGAAAAAAAAACAAGTAGGTATACAGGCAGTAGGCTATATTGCCAAAAAAGCTCACCAAAACCCACCCAATCCATCAAAAACCCACCCAAAACTTTATCTGGCATAATAATGTGATAGAATTTTATTGCCATGTCAATCATAAGGACCATTTTTAACTCCTTAAAACAAAATAAAGATGACAAAATAATATAAAAATGTTCCCAGGAAAACAGATCAAATCAGGGCAAATACATTTAAGATAATTAACAAATATAAATGTCCAGGCACCAGCCTATGTCAAAACGGCAATCAAGAAATTAATCGATACCTTCTGAAAAACACATGCATCATTTTCAGTGTCAGCATTCAGAATAAGCCAGTTTAAATGGAAAAAGTGATAAGTGATCGGAAGCAATTAGCAAGTATTTCACACTCATTCATGCACACACCATGACAGTCAAAACTGTGTCTTTCATTGACACTGCACGATAATCCGATGACAAAAAAATTAACAACAATCGTTTCGTGAAGTACATTGTAGATTGTTTTTTATTTTATTTTGAATGGCTACGTGCTCACACAGACATTCATTCACAGGTTCATTTTGAAGTATAAAGCCTGACTCACACTATAGGATTTTTAGTCCGATTTAGCCCCGATTTCCCCCTCCCGAGAATCGGAGCAAAAATCTCGTCGAGCCCCTCGATCGGTCCCGATGTTTGGCGTGGATTATCTGGTAATGTGAGGCGTTCACCGATCGAATCTTGCACCTCCCGATCTGCTCGCACACAAATCAGGGCCGCCCCGATCATATCAAACATGTTTGATATTTAGGATTTAAATCGGGATGATGACGGCTATATGATTACGTCAGTAATATATTTCACAATAGCCAATGCGCGACCGAAAAAACCAGCTGCTGTACGGCTCCTTTGGATAGTGGAGATGGAGGAAACTGCTTGACGTTTTATAGTAACACGACTGTCTGTATAATGTGTCGAAAACGTATCACAACCGTAAGGAGAAAGAGAAGCGCTGGAGTGAAATCGCCTCCGTTTTGAATGTACCGGGTGAGTGTAGAAAGCAGCTAGCAGGCTAGCTAACATATGTAAACATCACTGAAATATCAATGACGATCTGCTGCGTGAGATCACGTGAGGCGCTCCCTCTGGCATGATAATCTTAATAATATCTTGTAGTGTGTGATGCGCCACGATGTTAAAATCTTGTAGTGTGTGCATGTTTAAGATTTGAGGGAAGATAATCTGCAAAGATTCTCCTTATGTGTGTGCTGCAACCAGATTTCATAATCAGTTAGGATTTTAAAACTCCTGTAGTGTGAGCCCGGCATAAGGGGGGAAACGCGCCAGGTTCCGAAACAACGGGCCAGGTCTGAAAGCACTAATGCCGAGTTCACACTGCACGATTTTAGCCCGATTTTTCACTCGCCGACAGGTTTTGCGAAATCGCCGACAAATGCCCGAAATCGGAGGCAAATCGGTGCTCGTTCACGCGATCGAGTGACAATCACGCAGTGTGAATTATCAAAGAGCGATCTGAGGGAATCGCCGACACGTCGCCGACGCCCGCGAAATATTTGGCATGCTAAATATCTGGAGCTGTCGCCGATTCACAATCACGCTGTGCGCAATGATTTCTGACTGAAAACTACATCGGCGATGGCCTACAGCCAATGAGAGACCAAGATACAGGGCAGAGGGAAGTTCGGGGAGGAGTTATATCATACAGGAACAAGCACAAACATTTGCTTGACCAGCCACAACATCAGCATAACAGTTACTGCAAAAATGCTTACATTTTAGATGTCTGTTTTGGTTTTGAAAATGGTTCCAAACAGCACAAAATGAATCCGATTTTTGAACGAATGATTCAGTGATTCACTCATTAAAACATGTCAAATGTTTAATTCCTGAATGAATTAACCTTTTGAATCAATCGATTTAGGGTGTGTTCATACTTGTAGTTCGGTTTGTTTGGTTCATTTGGTCCGGACCAAAAAGGAAAATGATACATTGGTTCTGGTCCGCTTAGCATTCACATTGGCATTTTTGACAGCGATCCTAAAGGCATAGTGATACGTTCACAACCTGATTGGTCGGCTTGATTGACGTATATATCGTGACGGAACTCACCGAACACCCCAAACAAAAGGTGCGTTAGACTTAAAACAGCGCTGCGGTGTATGATATCAAAGCACCTGTCACAGAGCTGCCCTCTGTTCCCTCTGCCTAGCCCTTTTTTTGCATTAAGACATAAACACATACTTGGGTTTTAAAACTCTTTATTTACCTTGATGTGTCAGCAAGGTGGAGAGATGGATGATACCCACACACATCCACATTTACACACCTGAACACTAAAACCAGTGGACATTTAAGTTTTTCTTATAAACTGTTGGCTATTACCTGGATCAGCATACATAGTGGCGGCCATCTTGAACTGAGTAAAAGACCCGAAAGGACTTTTGTCAGCCTTTTTATACCTTTGCTGTGTTGCATCATGGGGAGTGGGAGATACCAAGTATGAGTGGAAAGGGGTGGAAACTGTTTTATGAGTTCTTGTATTTGACTTTCTATAATTATTGCTAAATTGAAGTTATGGTATATTGTGCTATTGATATTTGGTGTATTGAAGGAAATAGTGTTATTCGATGTTTAATCCTTTTATGTGTTAATACTTCATATTATTTTCATGTGATATTACGGCTTCTGGGAAATGGTTGAACCCAGGTGTATAAATTCTCACGTAATGAAGCAGTCAGGAAGTCTTTAGCTGGGGTGCAGTGAGTGCAGTAGCTATTGAGGAGTACTCTGATTGAATCATTGTTATACCTGAACCAAGGTTGTTTGTTTTTGTACTTTGAAGTTGGATTTTTCTTGGTACTCTTAAGGGATTTTCCCCTATGGAATTTTTTCTATGTTTTGCACCTGTGAGCACTCTGCACTTTATTGGCTTGGGAAAAACGAAATAAAAAGAAAAGCTGGCATTCAACGTCCTCCATTCATTGTTTGAAGAACTCTAGATGGTACCTCTAGTGGGACTTTGACAGCACCCATTAACCGATCTGTCTGCTCAGCGCCTTTTTAAGTCGAACACACCTAATGCCGTCAGCTGAACTAAGCGTGCTCATTCTTGCGTGTACATATAATTTTATTTTCACCACCTGCAAACTCACGAGGAGCTCATAAAACGCACTTTACCTCATCGTTGCTCCACGTTTGCCCTCTGTTCATTTTGTTTTAGTTACACTGCATCGTTAAAATATGTCGCATAGTGTCGCATCTTGTCATTACTTCCTTTTTTTGGTCTGTGTTGCGTTCATATATCATTTGAACCACACCAGAGTTAGTTTGGAAGCGGACCGAGACCCATCTTTTCAGCGGTCTCGGTCCACTTGTTTGGTGCGCACCAGGTTTTGGATGGCAGCGTTCACTTACTCAAAACCGCACTAACAGAGCAATCGCACCAGGGTTCGTTTTAGGGTTCGAACCAAACATGACAAGTGACTTGCTGCCACCTACTGGCGGCTTTAAATTCACATTTCAAGTATCTTTTCATGTTATTTTTTCTATATTCAATCTCTTCAATCTATCAAATATCAATATTCAATGTTTTATGTTTAAAACAAAACATTATTTATGCATTTTTAACTGCTGGTTAAATGCATCCATGTCCCCTCTGAGCTGCATTAAACAGTCTGTGTAAATGAATCCAAATACCATTTCAGTTGCAGATTCCATATTTGCAAAAACTTTTACTTTTTATGTATCTTATGTTGGAATGAAAGAGTGTTTGTGTTGGATGAAGTGGCTCTTATGCTAACCAAAAGATACAAAATGGAAGAAAATGTTAAAATGGAACACAATCTTGCTACTCAAACTGTGTATAGAACAATTTTTAATATTTATTTGCTCCTTTTCTATTTTGAATTTACTTGTACTTTTACTTTCAATACTTAAGATTAATATTAAAAAAATACTTTTCAAACTTAAGCACAATAAATATCACATACTTTAAAACTTTTACTCAAGTAATTTTCTAAACGGTGACTTTAACTTCTACTAAAGTCATTTTAAGATATCTATACTTTTACTTAAAGTCTGCGTGAACCGGAAGTTGCTGCCGACTTTATTTCAGTGAAGTGACGTATTTCCAGCTGAAACGGAATATTGAGAAGAGGGCGTGGTTTTATTTTTGTGCTCCTCCTCTCACCTCTCACTCATAGCAAACTAATGGTTGGAGGGGTGTGTTTAAGGATATTCTGCCCAAGCCGTCAAACTGACGCCATCAGAGAAGGAATGGAATTCCAGAGCGGAAGTAAATGTTCAGATTTTGATTAAAGATTATCAAGACAAACATTTTTTTTCAGCGAATTAACTTGCATGGATTAATTGTTCACATCAAGACTAGCAATGTGCGCTAGTAAAGTAAATAAAGTCCATTTTGATTTCATGCGGACTTTAAGTGTGGAATTCAAGTACTTTATCCACCACTGATATCAACTAAGCCTTCGCGTCATCTCCCTCCAGGTGTAAAGGCCTGTTTACACCAAGAACGATAACTATAAAGATAACGATAAAGATGTAGTTCTAAAAATCGTTCTCAATATTAAAGAATAGCAGAGTCCACACCACAGCTATAATGATAAAGGGAAGGCACAGAGAAATGATATCGTTGGAATCACTTTCAGAACGATTTTTTTCAGCTGATAAACGATAAAAACATTGACAGCCAATCAGAATCAATCCTGCTATAACAAGCTTGAGAATTTAAAGGGGTCATGAATTGAGAAATCAACTTTTACTTGAGCTTTTGATGTATAAGAGATCATGGTACTAAAAGAATATCTTGTAAGTTTCAGAAATGAAAACGTCCTTGTTATTGAAATAAAAGCTTTTATTGACACCAGGCCCAGCGAACGCCAGATCCTGGAATGTGTCAAGTCAAGTCAAGTGTGTGCCTACCAACACCGCCTCCACAGAAGAATATCAAGGCCTAATTCTGTAGCCCCGCCTGCTGATTCGCGCATACCATAGTAGGGAAATAAAGTAAGTGGCGCTAAACCTGATTGAACAACCAAGCAATAAACATGCTGTTAAAGATCGCAAAATATTGTGCAGTGCCTGGTTGTGGAAGAACACAGTCGCTGCATAACCTTCCTTCAGATTCAAATGTTAGGAATGCGTGGTTGAACTTTATTTTTAATGAAGTTTCAGCTCACTTGAGTAAAACATTGAGCGTTTGTTCGCTTCATTTCACCACGGATTCCTTTGTAAACAAGACACAGGTTGATGCTAGATTTGCAGAGAGACTGACATTAAAAAGCAATGCAGTGCCGTCTATATTGGATCTGACAGGAATGGTGCATCACACTTATGTGAGTAAAAAATATTTGTAATATGTGTTACTATTGCTTTGTTTGAGATCGCTTGATATGTCCTGATTATTTGTACTTGTCTAACCAAAGTCACAGAAGGCTCCAACTATGAAGGACGTAGCTTGTCAAACAGACACACAGAAAGGTAGTTACTATGCAAAACTATTATCCAGTTATAGCAGTGGGCGTTTACTTCCAAGTCTTCAATACGGCATGCCCCAAAAAAACAAACTTTCCCTTTCGAGCTTTCACGAGACATTGCGGAGGTTTCTCCGCTTATGGGGAACTCCGTCCCTTCCAACCTTTCCTGAAGTCCTATTGACTGGCCAATTGTTGCGAAGTATGCAAATCGCATGCAAATACTAACGAGCTCGAGAGGCAGTATAAAATGCGGTGCATGTGACAATTACGTCAGAATCTTCTCCTTCACTTGTTTGCTTCTACAACCTGAAGAATGGCTTCGTTCTGCAATACCTGCACGGGACCTATCGAACCGCCAGATCAGCACGACAGCTGCGCCACCTGCCTGGGCTTGGCCCACGCTGAGGCAGCGTTGGAGGAGTCTGACTGTGGGCATTGCGCGGACCAGCCGGCCCGCGTGCTTCGGATTCGCAGCAACATGGCTCGTGGCTTGTTTGGGGTGAGGCCCACTGCCACCAGCGTGCTGCTGGTGGGGCCCCCCCAGCCCCTCCCCCGGAGGTGGGAGCGTCAACTCGCAGCGCCGCTATCCTCAGTGGTCACCCTGTTCCCCAGTTGATAGAGCACGTCCCTCCGAGTGAGCTGAGAGCGGGTTTTACAGCCGCTATTTCGTGGTACCCAAGAGAGATGGGGGACTCCGCCCGATCATAGATCTCAGGCCTGTCAACAGAGTGCTTTGCAAGCGTCCGTTCAGGATGATAACGCTGAAACAGATCCTGGCGCAAATTCACCCCGGGGACTGGTTTGCGTTCGTGGATTTATAAGGACGCGTACTTTCACATTCAGATAGCACCGCATCACAGACGCTTTCTGAGGCACAGACTCTGTTCTTCCGTTTGGGCTGGCTTTAGCCCCACGCACTTTCCCCCCTCAGAGTGAGCGGGATGCACATTCTCAACTATCTGGACGATTGGCGGATTTTAGCTCATTCACGGGACACGCTAGTTAGCCATTTAGACACAGTGCTTCGTCACTTGGAGTCCCTAGGGCACTTGGAGAAGAGCATTCTTGCCCCAAGTCAGTCTATAACATATCTGGTGGTGTGTTTCAACTCGTTGGAGATGCGCGCCCGCCTCTCTCGGGAGCGTTCTGCGGCCATTTTGTCTTCCCTGCGCCATTTCAGACTGGGCAACTCTGTTCACTTTAAGGAATTTCAGAGGCTGCACTTTCTCTTGGGATTCAGTTCTCCGACAGATGTCCTGACATTTTCCTTCAGAATTTGCTGGTATAATTCAGAATTTCATTGTTCCATCAATGATGGCAAGCTGTCCTGGCCCAGATGCAGCAAAACAGTCCCAAACCATGATACTACCACCACCATGTTTCACAGATGGGATAAGGTTCTTC